GTACCAGTTTACACTTCTGTCAACAGTATATAAAGTGCTTTTTTGTGTATATTTGGCAGGACTGAGTGATTTCTTGATTCTTAATTGGCACTCCTTTTGATGGAACTTCCATGCATTGCTGTTCTAGTAAAAAAAAAACTATTCCTGGTAACTGAAGATGGGAATGTAATATTAACAGCAGTACTGAAAGGTAGCCCAGGATACTTCGAGAACCATCGAAACAGGCCATGTTTTAGCTTCAAGAGTCTGTGCTTCTAAAAATACATTTTTCCTCTCTCAAGCAGTTTATCAATCACAACTTGAGGGGTAAGTTCTAGTTTTTTTCTCCTAAAATTATTGCTCCATGAGTGCTTATCATTTCTTAGACCTTTCTGGGCATTTATTAAGAACCATGCTTTTGTTATCTTTAAAAACAAAATGTAACCTCCGTCAAAAATCACGTGGAGTTTGGGAAGTTTTGGTCATCACACAGGAGTACTTTCTTAAAGCAACAAGCACTCCAAGTATTGTTCAGATCCTTAGTATTTAAATGGAAGCCCTATAAATTCAGAACCATCCATGTATCAATACATTTCTTGAGTAAACTTGGAAGAAAGGGATTTAGTAAGTCCGGTGTTTGATATGTTATAATCTATTTGGCCAAAATGTTTAAAAATCGGTGTCATGAAATTGTTGGTCCCAAGTCAGGAATCACCAGTGTGACAGCAATTTTCATCTATTAAAACCGTCTTCCTCCCAGTGGTTGTTTCATAATGGCAAAACTATACCTTACGCAGACCTTACAAGTAGGATTTATTGATGTTTGTGACTTAGAAAATTCTTATTTAAATGTGATGATACATCAAGAATTTTTAAAGAGAATTTTCCCTCTTGATGCTGTTGTTAATTTAATCCTACGAAACAGAAGGGATAGGGACAGTGCACTTTTTTTTTGCTGTTTTGTAATATTCTGTTTTTTAAAAATTATTTATTTTTTTTAGTAATCTCTACACCCAGTGTGGAGCTTGAACTCATGACCCTGAGATCAAGAGTCACATGCTCCTCCCACCGAGTCAGCCAGGCACCCCTGTTTTCTGGTATTTTTATATTCATCTTAAGAGTAAAACTAATCAATACTGATTACAAAGAAATTCTTAATTCTTTTTTTAAATTTAATTCTATCATTTTTTTCAGTGTTCCAAGATTGTTTATGCACCACACCCAGTGCTCCATGCAATACGTGCCCTCCTTAATACCCACTACCAGGCTCACCCAACTGCCCCCACCAAAACCCTCAGTTTGTTTCTCATAAAGAAGCAGATAAGATGTTTTCCTAATGTTCTAGAAAGTAGATCCTATTTTAGTTCCTGTAGTCATTGGGAGGGGAGAGAGGGAGAAGAGTTTCTTTTCGGAGACTAGTTCACTACTCCCATCTTAGAGCCCATTTTAGCTCTGAAAGTGTACAACTTTCATATACGTCTAGTTTATTTTCCTGTCCCAGGTGAAGCATAGTACTTACATTGTAGGTTAGGTACTTGTTATTTTTATATACACAATTTACATATGTATGTGTGTATAATATGTATTAATGTATATTTTACCATACTAATGGTAAAACTAAATGTGTGTAGGGACATGTGTGTGTGTGTGTGTGTGTGTGTGTGTAAAGATACTAATGATAAGGGAAGCATTTATATAACAAAATGGGTGGTAACCTAATACTAAAGTTGGGAGTATTTCTGTTGGGATTGCAACTAGACTCTGTCTTCAAGCTTGGGTGTAGCATAGCATATACATAAGCATTGCTTCAAAACTGAGAAAGCAAAACAAAGAAACTACCCCAGAATACTGCAGATTTAACTACACGAGGAAATATTCATTGTTGTCATGGATATGCAAGTGATATGTTCTTCCAGTAGTGACAAGAATAATCTTTGAGTGGGCACTAAGTGGCTCCAGTTGGTTGAGCAACTGCCTTCAGCTCAGGTCCTGATCCTAGAGTTCCGGGATCGAGTTCTGCATTGGGCTCCCTGCTCGGTGGGGAGTCTGCTTCTCCCTCTGACCTCTCTCCTCTCATGTTCTCTCTCTCTCAAATAAATAAAATCTTTTTTAAAAAATGCTTAAAGAATAATCTTTGAGTTATGAGAAGAACAAAGGACTTTCCGTTTGGCTAACATTGATTATCATCATTCTAAAATATAATCGTAATTTTTTGGTGTAAATGTTTTCCCCAGATATCTGCCAAAGATGATAATGTGAACAGAAAGTCTAGTTTAAAAATAGTATATTTTTATATACTATTAATATATATAATATATATCATATGTCGTGTTATATATATTTTCTATACCATTAATATATGTATTAACAGTATATATTTTTATATACTAAAAATAGTACAGAATTGTCAAACTACTATGTTGCACACCTGAAACTCATATAACACTTTGTCAACTATGGTTCAATCTATTTTTCAATAAATTAAAAAACGGTCACAGATAAAATGAAGGCTGATGTTAATTGTGAAGGAAAAAATAATGACTTCAACCAGCTGTATGAGAAGTGTTAGATTATTTCTCTTATCCATTCCAACAAATATTTGATGCTATTTCCAAGCCCATGTGGGATACAGAGATAATAGGATGCAGTCCTTTTCCCAAATGAGCTTACTGTTTAGATAAGTGATTAAGATAAATTTATAAGTAATACAACTAACTTCTGAAATGCCCTCCCTTCAAAATCCTTCTTGTCACCTGAGTGGAAGGCAAAGAGATGATGCCCATTTGGGTAATGTATTACAAGTTTCAAGCGTTTAGGGAAGAGCTATAAAAGTTCAAAAGAAGACAAGACATGTTAGCTCAAGGTATCAGTGAAGATATCCCAGAAAAGCTGGCTTTTGAGCAGAATTCTGGATACAAAGAAGGGCATGCATAAAATCTTTGACACAGGAGAATTTCAGAGAATGTCAGCTTTTTTTCCCTAAGGTGGTAAGTGATTTCTTTTGGGTAGGATATAGGTAAGGTAGATATTTTTCTTATTCAATTAAAAGATTTATTTTATAGTAAAATATTTAAAGCTGCTGATGGGAGTATAGATAGGTACAGCCTTTCTGGAAAGTAATTTTATAGGTATATATCAAGAGTTTTCCTTTCCCACACTCCCCACCATCACCCAGTCTATCTTTGACTTGGTAATCATACACTTCTAGGAAATACGAGGGAGGTTTTTAAATCTCAAGGAGGGAAGATGACCCAGAAGCCACAAAGGAGACTACTGGTACATGTTATTACTTAAAACATAAAAACCAATATTTGGCCCAAAATAAGAGAAAATCTATACCAGGAACAGTATCTGTAATATGTCAGAAAAAGGGTCTATTTCCTTAATATACAAAGGGCTCTTATGAATCACCAAGAAAATATGAATAATCAAGTGAAAAAATGGGCAAAGTTACTGGATTCATATTCATTCATATAAGAAATTTAGATACATGGGGCGCCTGGGTGGCTCAGTGGGTTAAAGCCTCTGCCTTTGTCTCAGGTCATGATCTCAGGGTCCTGGGATGGAGCCCCGAACCGGGCTCCCTGCTCAGCGGGAAGCCTGCTTCTCCCTCCCCCATCCCCCTGCTTGTAGTCCCTTTCTTGCTGTGTCTCTCTCTGTGTCAAATAAATAAAATCTTTAAAAAAGGAAAAGAAATTTAGATATAGTGAAACATTTTAATATATTCATTGAAAAATATAAAAGAAAGTGTTTTTGGTAGGATTCACTTCATTGTTGGAGGGGATATGGAGATATGGGCATATATTTTTAAAAGATTTATTTGAGAGAGAGAGAGCACACACAAGTGCATGGGGATGGGGGTAAGAGGGAGAGGAAGCGAAATAATCCTCAAGCCTGCTCACTAGGACCCTGAGATCATGACCTGTGTTGAAATCACTCAACAGACTGAGCCACCCAGGTGCCCTGAGATGGGCATGTTAATTTTGGTGGGAATGTGAAATAGTATCTTCTCTTTTAGAGGTCATTAAAATTTGGGGGGGATGGGAATAAATTTTAGACTTTTACAGAAGAGTTGCAAGGATAGTACATCATATCAATGGGCTCTTCACCTAGCTCCCCCTTGTGTTACTATTTTACATAACTATAGTATAATTAATTAAAACTAAGAAATTAATATTGATATAATACTATTAACTAAACTACAGACTTTATTCAGATTTTTAAAAATTTTTTTTAAAGATTTCATGTATTTATTTGACAGACAGAGATCACAAGTAGGCAGAGAGGCAGGCAGAGAGAGAGGGGGAAGCAGGCTCGCCGCCGAGCCGACAGCCCGATGCGGGGCTCCATCCCAGGACCCTGAGATCATGACCTGAGCTGAAGGCAGAGGCTTAACCCACTGAGCCACCCAGGTGCCCCAAGACTTTATTCAGATTTAATCAGTGTTTCCACTAACATCTTTTTTCTGTTCCAGGATCTAATCTAGGCTCTCACATTACATTTAGTTATTATGTCTCCTTAGTCTCTTCCTTTTTTTTAAGTTTAAGTTTTTATTTTAATTCCAGTTAACATACAGTGTTATATTACTTCCAGGTGTACAATATAATAATTTCACACTTCCTTCATCACATGGTGCTCATCATAAGTGTCCTCCTTAATCCCCATCACCTGTTTCACCCAGCGCCCCACCGACCTCCCCTCTGGTAACCATCAGTTTGTTCTCTAGAGTTAGAAGTCGATTTCTTGGTTGGTCTTTCTGTTTCTCTTTTTTCCCCCTTTGCTTGTTTTGTTTTTGAAACTCCACATATGAGTGAAATCATATAGTATTTGTCTTTGACTGATTTCCTGTAACTTAAGACTCTCTACCCCTCCTTAGTCTCTTCCATGACAACTCCTCAGTGTTTATCTTTCATGACCTTAACAGCTTTGAAGAATATTCAGGACTTTGTTGAACGCCCCTAATTTGGGTTTACCTGATGTTCTTTCTTGGTAGCTCAAGATGATGTAATTTGGGCAAGAACACCATAGAAAAGCTGTGTTGTGTTCTTCTCAGCGTGTCCTGTCGGAGGTATGTGATGTTCGTGTGCCCTGTAATTGGTGATGGTAATCTTGATCACCTGGTTAAGGTGATGTCAATTGTGTTTCTCCACAGTAAAGTTATCATTTTTTCCTTTGTAGTTAATAGGTATTATAAATACTTTATTATATTGTATTAATATATATTTGGTGGTATTTTGAGACCATGTATATGTCCAGTTTCAACTTTAAACTTCCACTCACCAGTGTTAGCATCCATCAGTGGATTTTGTGTGCAGCCAATTATTACTGTAGTGCTGCTTTTTTAAAATATTTCGTTTACTTGAGAAAGAGAGAGAGAGCATGAGCAGGGGGAGGGGCAGAGGGAGAAGCAGACTCCCTGCTGAGCAGGGAGCCTGATGTGGGGCTTGATCCCAGGACCCTGGGATCATGACCTGAGCTGCAGGCAGACGCTTAACTGACTGAGCCACCCAGGACTTTACTGTAGTGTTTGAATGGAGATTTTTGATTTCCTTTATTCCTTCCACATTTATTAATTAGAACTTATATAAGGAAGTTTTGTCCCTTCTCCCTCCTATACTTATTTATTTGGTCAATCATTTATTTGTATTTGTGTGGACTCATGGATATTTACTTTATCTTTTGGATATAATTTAATACTATCATTTATATTGTTGTTCACATTGTTCCAGCTTTGACCACTGAGAGCTCTTTTGGGTTGGCCCCTGTGTCCCTTTGGCACATCCCCATCTTTTTTTTTTTTTAAGCACTTCCTTACTTTCTGGCACCAGAAGATACCAGGTTCAGCTGGCATTTTTCCTGCCTTGGCTCTGGAATCAACTACTTCTCTAAAGGGCCCTGGTTCCTTTTACTGGAGAATGGTAATTGGAAACCTAAGATCTGGGTACTAGGTATGATCACTGCTACTGAGTATCTTTGCTTCTAGATCTGGAGGGCAATTTTAAAAGACTAGAACCTAAAATGGTCACATACCCTTTTGACCCAGAAATTCAACTAGAAATATATCCTATAGACACACTGGCATAAATATATCATTAAGGGTATTCTTTGCCGGAATACCGTATGCCTGTTTAAGAGTATTTTTTTTAAAAATTTTATTTATTTATTTGAGAGAGCCAGAGAGGGAGCATCGGCAGAGGGGAGGGGCAGAAGGAGAAACTGACTACCCACTGAGCAGAGATCCCAATGCCAGGCTCAGTCCCAGGGTCCCTGGATTATGACCTGAGCCGAAGGCAGATATTTAACTGCTTAATCCAGTGATCCACCCAGCCATCCCTAACTGTTTAGAAGTATGTAGCTCTATGTATTCTGGCATGGAAAGCCATGTAAGAGAGTCATATTTTTAAAAAAGAAAGTTGCAAACCTGTGTAGATAGTATGATTCACTTTTTGCTTAAAAATTGTGCGTGTGTGTGTGTGCGCCTGTGTGCACGCGTGTTTATTAGACTACGTTTACAAAAACATCCCCAGGAGTACCCACCGTACTACTAAAAGCTGTTATTTCTGGAGAATTGAATATAAAAGATACTTTCACTCTGTATTTTATATTTCGTAATGTTTTTTTAAAAAAGACTTTATTGAGATATCATGAATATTTTTAAAAAACATTTTGTTTTAGGTTACCTAACTTTTCCATGAACCAGCATTCTAGTCTATGACAGCCTCGAATCATCTCCATATTTTTTACACTATTACATGATAATTTGGGGTAGTTTTATTATTTAGGTTATAATATTTGTTTTATACATTTCAATTTTTATGAACCAGGTGACCTACAAGCCTACGAAACATTTAAGACTCTTGAACTGCCAATACTTTATACATTCTTAAGGGGAAAAGAAAAGATTCTACTACAGCTTAGATTCTGAGTAGTACCCTCTAGTAGTTTGATTGGCTTGTGATAGTTACAGAGGCTTGTTCTAAATGTCATTTTCTTCTTCTTTATGACTTTTTTTAAAAAATCATTTTTTAAAAAGATTTTATTTATTTATTTAACAGACAGAGATCACAACTAGGCAGAGAGGCAGGCAGAGAGGAAGGGAAGCAGGCTCCCCGCCGAGCAGAGAGCCCGATGCAGGACTCCATCCCAGGACCCTGAGATCATGACCTGAGCTGAAGGCAGAGGCTTTAACCCACTGAGCCACCCAGGCGCCCCTTAAAAATCATTTTTAAAAATAAACAATATTTATGGAAACGTCGGAAGCTGTTAAAATCAGCGCAAAGAATACAAAAGTATAAAAAACAAAACAAAAAAATTAAAACGCAAAATGCACCTGTAATGCTGCCACACAGCAATTGATATTTGGTGTGTATCTTGCTAATTTTTCTGTGAACATGTACCCACTCAAAGAAATGCGTATATCACGGAGTCATACATACTGTTTTGTACTTGCCTTGTTCTTGATTTCAATACTGCTAACCTTTGAACTGTATTATAGTTATGGCAGTTTTCATCCATTAGTGGATACATGACATACGCTCATCTCTCTGAAGCAAGACTTGTGAAAGACTATTGCTGAGGAGATTGTTCTATAAGGGACTCACCAGAATTTACTTTTAGATTTGGACACTAAATGCTCAGGACTTTGTTTCCCACTCTTTTTGAAACATCCTCTTTTAAACGTACTAAGCTTGGTCCTTGAGACATTAATGACAGGAGGAAGATTGATTGTGCTTTAAACATTTCCAACAGATGTTATCACAAGTTGAGTATTGACTTGACTTCTAGAAGAATGTTTTCAAAATACTGGTTAGCAGACTAACTTACTTGCAACAGGGCAAAAACTAAACACAGTAATGGTTTGTTTTGAAGTCTGTCTCAAAATATGAGGGTTGTCTGAAGTTGAACAGCCCTGCCTTGTATTTGTGGTTGCTTTTTCCTTAATCACCATCCTGTTAGCTGCCTGGACACTGTTTTGCTCTGTGGTATTTGATGAGTAAGGCTTTCTCAGGGCTGCCTCATTTCCTAATTGAAAGGCGATAAACTCTAGATGCTGTATTCTCTTTTTTCCATGGTATCAGGTGATCATTAAGTCAAAACAAACTATGTTATATGCTTCAGTCTGTTAAAAATTTGCTTTGCGAAGGATTTCCAACTTCCTTGTGCTAACAAAAACTTGCATATACATGTGAAAGTGAAAAGTGTGTTCCAAATTTGCATTCTAATTTCAGCCAGATCATTCCTATTTCTAGTCCCAGTCATTTGTAAGTGGAAGCTGCAAGGTGGTCATCTGCTTAGATCTTTCGTACAAAATTATGTCTTTCATTTTAATAGAATGACTCTAAGAACAGGGTGCTATTTGGTAGGGGGAGGCTAGGGGGAGAGAGGTTACGTTCAGAGTGTTTTTCCATCGTGTAGAAAAAGTAAGGTGAGGAAATGTGATTTAGTTCCCTTCTATCTGCTGGGCAGCGGCAGCTTGTTTTGTTTTGTTTTTTAAATGATGAAATAAATGACCGGTAAATGTACAGATGCTGGAAAAAAATCAGGACAGGACTTTATCCCTGTCTCTTGTATTTAAGAACCTCTGAGAGTTTCTTTGTCTTGCCTGATTGATGGAGGACTGTGAGACTGGAAATGAGTAGAAGGTTGAAACTGGGCCTCTCATCCAGCTGAGAGAATTCTCTGACACTTCTGATTCACCTCTCCATCTTCTCCTTCCATGGTACCAACGACCAAGTATAAATACTATTCTTTACCAATATTTATGGATGAAATTATTTTCCAAATTAAGCAAGCTAGTGGATAGTTTTGTATCTCCCCCCTGCCACCCATAGGTCTTTAAATGATTTTGTAGAAAATTGGTCTTTGTTGTTTATCAGTTACCTGAATTAATCTGTGGGGGAAATCTATCCATTTGTATTTAGAAATACGAAGTTTTTCTTCTCCAACATTCTCTTCTTGAGCTCTTCGGACTTTGAGTGTGTATATGCAGAGATTTACTCTGCTTATGTTAATATGAATTGTTAGCCCTGTGGGAGAAAAATAAGAAAATGTTAAGTAGCATGCCTTCTGTTTATAAGTAGTCTTAACCATCTGTGTTCACACATATACTGACACCGTCCCCAGCACACCCTCTCCAAAAGTAGATTGTGGATATTCACTTGAAGTGAAGAAGTAGTTCTGTGAAACCAAACAAAAGGAATGCTCTGTTGGTGATAGGTCTGGGTGTAAATCATTCTTGCCCTCCTGTTCTGATGGTAGCAGGAGAGAAAATGAACTGAGTTAACACCAAGTAGTTAATGTGGTCGTTAGTCATATGGATGTTTGCGACTTCCATTGGAGTGTCTAGATTTTTTAAAAAAAAGTGTTTGAAGGGTTTTTCTCACAGTCTCGTGCAAGTAGTACTGAGTACTACCTCATGAAGATAGGACTTCATTTCTTCTTCAAAATCATAATTGTGCCTAGGACACCCCCGCAGTGTTGAAATGTAAGTAAGCAATGTCAAATTACAGAAGGGCCGTAGTTTACTATTCTGGGTGTTCAGATGATAGGTTGTTTTCTCCTGCACGATACAACGTAGGTCAGTCCAAAACCTTCATAGCATGTATAGCTTCAAGAGCATCATAAAGCTGATCTGTATGTTCGCTGAGGGAACATGAAAATATCTGTAGGTTTTTGCCTAGAGCAGTGCTGTGTTTTGATTTGGAAAGAATCTTGCACTGTTTAAAGGAAATTATTCATTTTGGATTTTGATGGGAAAATCGCTAGGCGTCTGCAGGCACTTGGGGTTGAGGCTATCTGGGTAGATTGACTAGTTTCCTGTGGTCACACTTTATCCCTGAATGGCTCCTGTCCCGACTGGGGCTGGGGGGTGGAACAAGAGGTACAAATAAAACTACTAACAGCATGACTCCTGCTTCTTGCCATTTTCTTTTCATTTTACTTTAACATTTTTTATTGAGCTATAATTGACGTATAATATTGTGCAAGGTGCACAACATGTTGATTTGATACATTTATATATTGTTACGATTACCACCTTAGCTTTAGCTAACACCTCTGTTGCATCACATAATTATCATTTCTTTTTTTGTGGTGAGAACATTTAAGGTCTAGTTCCTTAGCAGTTTTGAAAGTATATGACATGGCATTGTTGACTGTGATGACTGTGCTGGGCATCAGATCTCCAGAATTTACTCATCTTCTAACAACCCTTTAACATCTCCCTGGGTCCCCCCTCCAGCCTCTGGTAACCACCATTCTACTCTATTCCCGTGAGTTTGGCTTTTTTAGAGTCCACAAATGAATGACATCATGCCACAGTTGTCTTTCTCTGCCTGGCTCATCTCACAAAGCCCACCCTCAAAGTCCACCCATGTTTTTGCAAATGGCAGGCGTTCCTTCTTTCTCATGGCTGAATATATACCATTGTGTGTACATACCACATTTGTTTTACCCGTTCATCCATTGGTGGACACTTAGGCTGTTTGCTTATCTTGGTTGCTGTGAATAATGCTACAGTAAACATGGCAGTGCAGGGGTGCCTGGGTGGCTCAGTGACTGCCTTCGGCTCCAGTCAGGATTCCAGAGTCCCAGGGTTAAGTCCCGCACCGGGCTCCCAGCTCCATGGGGAGTCTGCTTCTCCCTTTGACATTCTCCCCTCTCATGCTTTCTCTCACTGTCTCTCTCTCAAATAGATAAATAAAATCTTTTTAAAAAATGGCAGTGCAGATTTGTTTTTGATATCCTGTTTTCATTTCCTTTGGCTGTATATCCAGAAGTGGGATAGCTGGATTATGTGATCGTCGTATTTTTAATTTTTTTTACACAACCTCCATACCGGTTTCCAGAGTGGCTGCTCCAATTTACGTTCCCACCAATACTGCGCAGAGCTTCCCTTTTCTCCACAAACTCACCAAGGCTTGTTTTTTTCTGGTCTTTTTGATGATAGCCATTCTGACAGGTGCGAGGTGGTATCTCATTGTGGTTTTGATTTGCCTTTCCCTGATGATGAGTCATGTTGAGCACCTTTTCATGTGCCTGTTGGCCATCTGGGTGTCTGCTTTGGAGAAATGTCTATTTAGTTCCTCTGCCCATTTTTTCATCTTACCATTTTCCCACAGAGTTTTGACTACTGTTTCTTAGGCTAAGTTACTTTTCTGTGATCCTAATAGCATTACTTCTAGCCAGATGACCATCTTGAGTCATTTCTTATTTTGTCTTGGATACCTGGCTCATCATTGAGCTAAGATGCACGGGTAATGTGAAACAGCACTTGAGTGTTTTCAAAAGGGGTTCTTCTCTTGTGTCAATGTACCCATTAATGTTGTCTTTTATTGCAGATTGAAATCACAAAAGATACATACACGCGTTCTTCTTAAGAGAAAAAGGAAATCTGTAAGTATTCTTTGAAAATTCTAAATTTGTCATTTTATCAGCTTTTGGAGGAAATTAAGTTTTAACTATACTAACAGGCATCTTGACTCTTTTTGTTGTGGAAAAACCCTGCCAATCTCCATGTTTGTGTTAAAAGGGCAATATTTGGAAAAGTAAAACGGGATAACTTTTTACCCTGTACAGCTTCTAAAATTTAAGCTACCACCCCTCGTTTTTGGAAGGGGAAGTGATAATTGAAATCTAAGTAAAATGTTTTTCCTTGAGTGATTACCGAAAAGTGGAGCCACAGATGGGAGTGTTCCAGTTCTGACTGGTGAGATTTACAGGCCAAGAGTCTTTGGCAAGCTAGTTTGCTTCCCTTTGCCTCACTTTGCTAACTGTAAGGAGGCTCGTTATTCTCGATGAGAGGATGTCTGTAGTAGTGGCTGCTCTCCCTAATAAGTTGAAGCTTGTTCTAGTTACTGGTTCTCAAAACTGATTGAAATATATTTCTGATTTGCAGAATTTTAGGTATTAGCCCTTTCCTTCACCGGAGTATCTTCTCTAGACCATAGCATGGAATAAAAGAAACATAACAGCACACTTAAAAGAAACACAATAGCATACTTAAAATTAGAGTCCTAGTGTTAGTCTTGGACCTTGAAAATTACCTAGTCCAGTGTTTCCCAAGCATCGATTTTTAGACCAGTGGTGGTCAGTGAGGAGTTTTTCGTGGTCCAGGGTGAAGTGAGGAAAGTAAGGACAACAGGCCATGCATTTTTTTTTAAGGTTAAACTCTTCCCCTTCAAATGATTTCTTGTTATTATGAGATCTGCCCATCTAATTTAGGGGCATTAAATACATTCTGTATTTTATGAAATGATGGTGATAGCAAATCATAGGGTTTTTGTTTTTTTTTTTTAATGTCTATACCTGCCCCCCACCCAAGGCAGCTGTATCATTCCCCTCACCATCCTTCTTTGCTTTTAAAACTATTACAGGCCTGTGCTATATCTTAAAATAAGAATCCAGTTTTCTCATTTTACAGATGAGGACACAGACAAGAGGTTATTTGATTTGTTCCACGTCTTACTGTTCAGCAAGCTGCTGAACTGGGACTAAAACCCTGTATACGATGCTGCATCTCTTGTATTTCTGGTCTTCTGAGAATCACTTTAATTATAATTGGTTATAAACTTGAAACAGAAGATCTAGTAGTTCTTAGGTGCTAATAACTATTTTTGAATTCCGAGTGTAAAGAAATTCAAGACTTAATGTTCTTGTGTAGCTTGGTACTAAAGTCTGCTGATGAGCCTGCATTAGAAAAATCTTAAAACATGGCCAGAGATTTTCCTCAGCAGGCCCAAATTAGCCATCTCTGAATTCAGCTGCTTAGCACGCTACCCCATGATTCGTAAAAGTGGTGAGGTATCAGTGAGGCTAGTGTTTCCTTGGGAAATAGCCTGTGGTGCCATCTTGATGACAGTAGTATTCAGGCTTCTGTAGTTGATTTATTTGTGCACAGAGAGTCTGTTTCCTCTGGCCTCCCTCCCCACCTCCATCCTCCTCTCTCCCCCACCTCTCCCTGCCATGCCCCACATGCACACATGCATGTGTGAGCACGCATGCACACATACACACCCTACAAACACAGATAAACATTTAGAACAGTCGGCTTACAGCCCATCTAGATAGGTAAAAAAAAAAAAAATTACCAAGGCAGAGAGTAGGAGTTGCCAAACACATTGGCAGAAACATATGTGCAGTTGTACTCAGGAGTTTACAGATACTTTGGAGTGCCTTTGACACTTCAGAGACTCCACTCTGATTGGCATAGCTGGGCCTTCGCTGTCCCTAATACACTTCAAAGCAGAAATACCTAATTCCCTTATCCCCCTCCCTCACTCACCTTAGTGAAGCATGCATGGGCCAGGGAAACAAATGAACGTGAAGAGAAAAGAATGGAAAGTATTCCTCATCCCTAGTATGGAGACATTAACTCTAAGAGTACTTTCCCCTGGCTTCTTGTATTTAGCATCATGTGGCTTCCTTCTTTAGGGAAGAATTCTTTAATTTCTAAAATGTCAGGTACAGCCATAATGAAATGGTAAGAATTAAAAAAAAAATCTTGAACTTTCTGCAGTCTTTGGAATATCTGTGCTCTTCTTTTTCTTAGTGCTAATATTTGAGAGTTGTCTGAATGGCTACAGGATTTCAGTCTTCAACAGATTCATCAGTCTTTGAGTTCTTTTAATAATCTCACTTTAAAGGTATTTTAATACGGAAGCACAGAGTGAGCTTGTAAAAACAAAACAAAACAAGACAAAACCATACCACAGTTTCACATGGTGGCCATGTGGCTGAATTGTAGTGACTTATTTGGCCATTTTATAAGAAATGGCTGAAGGGGCGCCTGGGTGGCTCAGTTGTTAAACATCTTCCTTCGGTTTGTGTCATGATCCCAGGGTCCTGGGATCGAGTCCCACATCTGGCTCCCTGCTCAGAGGAAGCCTGCTTCTCCCTCTCCCACTCCTGCTGCTTGTGTTCCCTTTCTTGCTGTGTCTCTCTCATCAAATAAACAAAATCTAAAAAAAAAATAGAAATGACTTAAGACTACATTGTTGCATAATTTTTAAAAGTAAAGAGTACTGGGAAACATTAGCAAAGAACTAACCTGTCGAACTGGCTCCTCCTCTAGCAAATGTGGAAGGTAGGTCATGTGGCAGAAAAAGGAATGGTTGCAAAATTGTCCCCGGTATACAAAGTTATTACTAGGGGAAGTAATATGCTGGTCACAGGTTTTTTTTTTTTTTTTTGATCTATACTCACGATTGGCAGCCTGCGGTTTGTGTTACTTTATTATTAATAAATAGGTAACATGACAAGAGAGGTAGGATCTCACTTGGATGCAAGGCATTTATTATAACTGAAAGTTAATTTTGAAGATATTTTGAATGATTTTTGATAAGCCATGACTGTGTTCCCCTAGAGAAAAAAAATACCTGGGAAATAGAAGACTTTACAGACAAAATTAAAGTCTACCCCATGGTGCTATGTGCCCTGTAATTTAGCAGCAGGGTTCTGTCTACAGGGATCTGCAGGAGTTCATCTTCAGCAGTAGCCTAGGATGTTGAAATTGGCATTGTGCTACCTACTCCTGTTTTATAGCACTGCACCCTTCTTACTTCTCTGCAAATACGTACCCCCCAGAACTTAGTTTTCCTCCCTCTCTCCTGGTGTCTAATCAAGTTGGATTGGAACATCATGCTTGGTCAGTAGGTGCCACTTCTGGCTTGGTCTGTCCTCAGTATTCCTTTAATTTGAGCTTTGAATTAAAGCTCTACAACCAACTTCTGACTTTTGAAAGCTTCATATTTAAAAATGCAGCGTGTTGTGATCACTTGAAATGAGGAATAGCCGCATCATCATACACAGTGTATGTGAAGTGTGTAGGCAGCAACATTGGCTGCTGGATCTCCTCATTTCAACACATATAGATAGGATCCCAATTATAAGATCCTATGACCTAGAAAAAACATAATCTGATGCATGCTGGGGATGTTCTTAAAGCATTATGGGAGAGGACTTCTGCTACACTGTGAAAGAGCATCTTCAGCATGGCAGCTGAGGTGCTTTCTTTGCTGGGAAAAGCTGGGAGGAGACTGGCAGCATGGCGACTTCAGGGGTTAATACCTCTCCAGGTGAGGAAGTAGACAGGTTTGGGTAATCTTGCTGGAGACGCACCAAACATCAGTCGTGGTAGTGAGAGGCTTGTAGTTAAAATAGCTAGCTAGGCACAGGTGTGGTGTGTTGGGACAGGGCGCTCATATATTCATCCTAGGTTTTTGTTTTTGTTTATAACAAATACATTTGTTATAATTACTGTATCTCGGGTCTAAAGTTTGATTGTACAAACTATACCGTGTCAATTAGATTGGTCTGTCAGTTTGAATCAGGTGAGACTTACAAAGGGCAGATGAATATATATTTCACATGATTATTCAGTCTTGCAAACTAACAGCAAGAAAGCCTACTAGCTGCCCTTAATGCCTTTTATTTTCTTAAAATAGTACCATTTTAAAGTTTTGATATTAAATATGAAGTTTATTATATTATAATACAGCTCCTGTGAGGTTTGATTTCATTAACCAAATGCAACCATTCTTTTTTTTTTAATTTTATTTTTTATAAACATATAATATATTTTTATCCCCAGGGGTACAGGTCTGTGAATCGCCAGGTTTACACACTTCACAGCACTCACCATAGCACATACCCTCCCCAATGTCCATAATCCCACCCCCGTCTCCCAACCCCCCTCCCCCCATTAACCCTCAGTTTGTTTTGTGAGATTAAGAGTCACTTATGGTTTGTCTCCCTCCCAATCCCATCTTGTTTCATTTACTCTTCTCCTACCCCCTTAACCCCCATGTTGCATCTCCTCTCCCTCATATCAGGGAGATCATATGATAGTTGTCTTTCTCCGATTGACTAATTTCGCTAAGCATGATACCCTCTAGTTCCATCCACGTCGTCGCAAATGGCAAGATTTCATTTCTTTTGAAATATTGCTGTATATATACTGCATAGTATTCCATTGTGTATATATACCACATCTTCTTTATCCATTCGTCTGTTGATGGACATCTAGGTTCTTTCCATAGTTTGGCTATTGTAGACATTGCTGCTATAAACATTCGGGTGCACGTGCCCCTTCGGATCACTACGTTTGTATCTTTAGGGTAAATACCCAGCAGTGCAATTGCTGGGTCATAGGGTAGTTCTATTTTCAACATTTTGAGGAACCTCCATGCTGTTTTCCAGAGTTGCAACCATTCTTTTAACATCATTTTTGAGCTTTCTTTTCTGTATTTTAAAATCATTTGGAACTTTTTAATAGTATGTGAGAGAAAAGGTTTTTTTTTTTTTTTTAAAAGCACTCCACCCATTTATAAGTCTCGGGGAGGCAACAACTATGTAGAAATAGGATCTTTTAAAGTGCCACAGGTATGTTATCTGTT